AGATAAAAAAGTTAAAAAATGAAATACGTATCTCTATCATTAATCACTTCAAAGAAAAAGAAGCACTTTGAGTATGATTCTAGCCAAACAAGTAGAGGCCTGGCTATTAGAAACTACAAAGTGTTGACAGAAGCAGTTAAAAAAATCCTGAAGGAACTGAGAGTTACATTGGGATCACAGATCAATAAACTTAACACACTGAAGAACAATTTTATCAAAGTTGCCTAATAGAATTCAACTCATCAAAATATTGACAAGTTTCCTTGCAGACATACTATATTCTGAATTTTTTAAAATATGTATTTTGTACAGGGACTGACTAGCTAGCTTGGACTTGTCGTGATCCTCCTGGTTGCAGACTGTCCAGTGCTGGCATTATAGGAGTGTGCCATCAGACCTGGTAGGGTGGCTGGCTCATTGTGTCAGTGGGAGGGCCAGCCTGGCATCAACTGCCAGGGATTGAACCCTGGTTCCAGCGCTTGCCTAAGCAGGTGCTTAGTCTGCTGAGATATCTTGATAGCCCTATTCTAAATTTGTACGGCAAGGGAAACAAAAAACAAGCACAGGTGAAATTATTTCAGAAATATGAAATAAGGTTCTAAGAATCATTCTGAATTATTTTGATACAGTATGTAGATACAATAGTAATGATAGGAGGAAAAACAAACACAGTGATGAAGTGGGCCATAATTGAAAACTACAAATAGATCCTTTATCAAGACCCGTATGATTTTTAAAAATGGTGCAAAGTGCTTCAGTAGAAGGAGGTAACCTTCAAAAAGATGATGTTGGAAAATTTGTATAACCATTGTGCTAAAGGAAAAGAAAAGAAAAAAATTTCTCTTATTGATATTATTTTTAAATAATTTTATTGAGAAAGAAGTATCAATGAGACAGTTTCAAAACAGGTTAGTAGAACATTTACAATAGTTACTACATTGCATATTGTTGTCTTTTTAGTAGTTACTTATAGTGCAAGATGCAGACATGATATCTTGTCTAAACACTATTAGTTCAAATCTTTCTTCTCATTGAACTAAGAGAAAGCAGCTGTATATCTATGCATATATATACATATATATATATATATGCTCACTACAAAATAGTCCTTCATTTATATCCCTCTTTTTTGTTTACTTTTGTCAGAGATGTGCATTCCATTGCCATTCATATATTGTAGGTGCATGAACTCAGCAAAGTAATCCAACATAGTCCAGTAGTCTATAATAGTAGTGGGTTATCTGCATGACTGGCAATGTCAGAAGTTTTTGACTTGAGTTTTGTTCATATCTTGCACTCTGAATAACTACTTTAAAGATAACGCTATATAATGCATTAATGATTATTGTTCTCCTATTGTTTTGTTATGAAATTTGTTTCATCTTTTTCCATAAACATGATGTAAATATTTGTACCTGACTTCCTTCACTAAGCATAGTGTTTCCAATGTTCAGGAACATCGTAGCATCTATCACATTTTCATTCCTTTTTTCTAACCATGTAATATTCCATTAGATTTTTAAATTTGTTATATTCTTTATAGGTTCAATACTGCTTATATTCATTGCTTATTGATTGATTGTTTTTTTATTCTTTTCCATAATTTTATTGAGAAACAAATAGCAATGAGACAGTTTCAAACCAAATTGGCAGGACAGTTTCAATAATTAACACATTGCATACATTCTTCCTAGTGGTTAATTGCTGTACAAGATGTGGACTTGATATCCTATTTACAAACACCATTAGAGCAAATCCCTCTATTCATTAAGAGAATGTAACTGTATATCTATCCTAACCACTTTGAATACACAGATACAAAATGGATATTCATCTGTATACTCCTTTTTTTTGTTAAGTTTCATCATTTAAATATAGGTATGTAAATTCAGCAAAATATTCTAAAAGAGTTCAGTAGTCCATAATAGTATTGGGTCTTCTGCTTTACTGGCAATGTCAGAAATTGTTGATCTGAGTTCCCTACAGCTCAGCATAACACTATGGCTTTACTTCTTATACTTCATTTTTGTACTTTTCTGCTGGATGGTTAAGACCAAGGTAAAGAAGGACATATGCAACAAGAGTTGTAGCTTTTGGGTCTGATAAGATCAGTGAAATCCCCTCAGGGTTTATCTTGAGATCCTGTACGTCAGATTTTAGAACCTTTGTCAGTGTCAGCCATGTGGATGAGTCATGGCCATTGCTTGGCCAATGTGTGCTTATTGATTTATCCATTGATGAACATTTGGATTAAATCCACACTAACTATTGTGAACAATGCTTCTGTGAATGTCATGTACAAGTATATGTTCACAGACTTATTTCAATTCTCTTTGATAGAATCCTAGAATTGTAAGTGATATTTCATGTAATAATCTTATGACTAAATTACTAATAAATTGTTTTGCACACAAAAATGAAAAGAGAAGAAACTTGACCTTAACCTCATACAATATACAACAGTGAACATGAACTAGATGATATACATAAATGAAAAGCATGTAACTATGTAATATTTAGAACATAAAAACAAAAGCACAGAAGATTCATCTAAAGAATCAAGAAGTGCCAACAAAAGCACAACAATAAAAGGAAAAAAATAGATACATTTTCCCCCTCCAAAGGACAACAACTGCTGTGAAAAAAGTTTCTTGTTAATAGGAAAGCAATGCTACACATTATAATTCTAATAGACTATCAAAGAGTCTCTTGGCAAAGAAACAGTTCTCTTATGTGGACTAAATTGATTGTTACACAAATGTGCACATGTGATGAATTTGTACAGAGCTACACACAGACCTGCCCACACAGTGAGAGCACAAGAAAGTGCAAACTGTGGATTGTATCAATTTCCCATTGCTATAGCTGCAAATGCATACTAAATTTTGTATGCAAGACACTGCCATCAGGTAAAACAGGATAAAGAACACTCAAAACCTCCTGGTTTAATTTGTTTTGGCAGCATCCTGTGAATTTATAGTTACTTCATAATAAATTGTGTTAATAAGTAAATACTAAAATTTTGAAAAGGGCATGCCTTACCCTCCTGTTTGTGAAGACAGAATAACATTCTTTCACCAGCACTGTTTTGATCATGTCTGGATCTGTGATAGCTAACACAGGCTGATGACCATCAAAAAACCTGATGTAGGAAACAAAGAAAATTAAATGTTTACTTTCAGGATTAAGTTAAAAGGAAATCAATATAGAGAAAATGCCATGGATTTGTAAGAACACAATATGAAGGTCTTCATGCAATGAAAGGGACTAGAGAAAGGGAAAAGGGAGAGGCTAAAAGAATGGCCAGACCATGGACAGAAAGTAATGGCCAAACCATGGACAGAAATTATGGCTAGTAGACTGCAATCCATCAAGCTTGGAGAAAAGTCACAGCATGCAATGTTCTCAATCCAATACAGATGGGGAATTTCAACTCCTGTGATGAATTGAAGCCTTGGATGGACATACCTGAAAAAATCTTAAACAGCTATATCCAAAGAACTCTAAGCTGGCATTGTCCTCAGTGGGTATTTCATTCTGACAAGATAACTAATGTATGTTTCCAGAATACTTACCCCCATATTTTTCCATACTTTTTATAACATTTTGTGTCAAAGTCCCAAAAACCCTGAGGGGAAAGAGAGAGAAAAGAAAAGCAAATTTCATTATTTATTTAAATCTACCAAGCACATCTCTCTACCAGACACAAATGAGTGGAATCCCATGGATTCTGGCTTAATATTCCTCACTGTTTGAGGGAAGATTGTATTCAGAGACATCTGAAGGAAAAGAATATCTTTTTGTCTGTCAATTCTAAGAAATCCCTTCTCTTTTAGCTGTGCTCTTTTTTATTTTAAAGAGAAAAAACAATAAAAACTATGATACAAAATTTCAAAACAAGCTAATGGGAGATTACCAATGGTTACTATAATGCATATTGTTACCTTAAAGTACTTTTTCAGATTATAAGATAAAT